TGCTTTTCAATAAAAAAAATCAACTTATAACTTTAATTAGGTTTAATAAGTTGGCTTTATTTTAGTTAGACAATAAAAAAATATAGACAACAATAACAAACAATTTTTTTTGAAGAAAAAAACCTTTAAAAATATAAAACTAGATAAAAAAAAATTGATAAAATTTTCAGTCTAAAACAACCCGAGATAATATGATAGACATGTAACATGTGTAATAAGAAGTGAGTCAATCGAGATTAACAAATAAATCTCGTGGTTTAGATTATGAGATTGAAATAATATGATAAAAAAAAAAACAAAGCAAAACTTTGGAGGGGGGATATGGTCAAATCAAAAAGTGAAATGACTTTAACAAAAATAGAAGAAATAAAAAGAATAGGAACAAAATAAAAAAATACATTGTAAACTTGAATTAAATGATAAAATTAAAAACCAATAAAACTCTTACAAAACGATTAAGAAAAAAATAGAAATTAAAAAAATAAAAACCGAATTGAAAAAAATAATATCTGAGAAATTGGAATTGAAGAAAAAATTAAAAACAACTAAGAATTTTATAAAAGGATCAAGAACAAAAATTAGAAATCAAAAGAATAAGGATTGAAATTAAAATACTAAAAAAATGAGGGCTAACCTATAAACTTTAAGGGAGAAAAGAGAAAATGAGAAAAAAAAAGGCTCACCAATTACAAATCACTTAACTACTACCGACACACACTACATTAGGAGGAAGAGAATGCGATGATACTTCTAATAACATGATGAAACGACAAGTTTGATCACTGAAAGATGTTCTATACAGAACCTATTATATACTGCACACGTCGGTAGCTTTTCAATTTTAATCTTGATTAAAAGATCAAATTGCTCCTAATAGTTATGAAATTAATAAAACAAGCTATGTGAAAAGGACTTGGACCAATAACTTATTTTTCTTGATTTTATGGGTGAAAATGTCTTTGTACTGTATTTAAAAAAATAAACAAATAAAAAAAATTGGTCTACAACTCTTTATTTGTTTGTCTTTTAAGATAATTTAGTTATTTTACTATTTGAAAAATTCTTAGAAGGTATTTATACTCCCAAATAATTTTTTAATAACCAATGGGCTATGAGAAAATATCAAATTACTCTTCAATATCAAGGCATCTCATTATTTCTTTAAGGGATAAAAAAATAATTTCATTGTCGCAATGAATTTTTTTTTATGTTTGGGTATACAATGATTTTCCCACACGGTTTAGAGGTTTTGTTAATATTTTCTTCTATATTTTTTTAATTTAAATTTCAATATAGTTATTAAACCAAAATAAAACCTATTAATGGGTTGATTAGATCAACTTACATATCAATGACTCAACTCTATTTATGTATTTTTATTAAAATCAAGTTGTTTAAGGAATAAATGTTATTTTTCCATAATAATAGCAACCTAAAGAGTCAATAAGGTTGTATGTGGTTATGTTGTAGGATAAAATAAATAAATATATCAGATAGAGAAAATTAAAGAAATAGAAAAAATTAAAGAAATAGAAATAATGACAATACCTAAAGTATGTGTATGTTTCTAAGATAGTTTTGGAAAAATTTCTAATCTTTTAAAACATGAAAGATGTGAATATGTTTTTTTGTTTTTTTATTGTCTCTGTTTCTTATGTTTTAAGACAATAATCAATCAATACCTTATAAAATCTATTATTTTAAAAATATAACAAGAATTAGCCATGTATCTCAAGTTCTCAAAACACTTAAAAAATTAGAAGATAGATTGACTCATTTGGAATTAAAAGTCCAAACAAATGGAGTGTATTCTACTTTATACTCTCTCTTGTAATTTATTACAAGTAAATACATTTAAACTTATAATTTGATGGTTTTATATATAGAAATATTAAAATCTATTGGATGTAATATGCAAATTTTGAAATGCTAACATTTTCAATGTGACGTCAACCAGTTTGAATTAATTATAACCTTCATTTTTCATGGTATGTATTGAATTGTTACAATCAAGGTTAAAAATCATATGTATTCCCTCAATTAACATACCAAACCCATATAAGATTTGAAAAATTCAGTTTTGATTTTCTAAATCAAGTTTAAATATATGTAGACACACAACCTTCAATCCCAGAAAATAAACCCTTTCAAATCCTAGATTTTAAGCCTTTTTATCCTAGTTCATCACCCTAACAACCATATAATTCCCATTAATAAATATCTCTTCTCTACCTAAGAAAAAGAGAGAATAAAATGAAAAGAGTTTGTGTAATTAAATTCAAATTAAATACTATAATTGAATTATAGTAGAAAACTGATTCTAAACAACACGATAAAGATAGCCCAGCATCATAATTTAGGTTGTGGATTTGACATGCTAATTCATATTGACTCGGAGCTTTTATATCATTCTATTTTTACATAAAATTTAACCCTTATTTTTTTAAATTTTTTTGCTTTGGATTCTTTTTTAAAACCAATTTTTTTTATCCTTTAACACTAGATTGTTAAGAACTGAGCTTTGTATTTTTTTTCGATATGATGATCCTAGATTGAAATTGATCATTTTTTATACCGATTTTCTTTTTTAATTTCAACTTTCAACATTGAGTATATTAAAAATTGAGCTTCTTTTTTTATTTGCTTTTTATGAGGATGGCTAGCCTCACAATCCAGGTCATAAGTTTTTCATGCTAACTTGGACTGACTCGAAACTTTATTTTTTTCATTTTTTTTATTTCATCATTAGAATTCAGCTTCATAGTTTTTTTTTTCCTTTTAACAAGTGTTTTTTTTCTACAGGAAATCACTATCGCCTTTTCTCTTTAGATTCAATACATTTACTATCATTGTTTTTTTTTAATCATATAATTAAATTAAATCATCTTATTGAATCTAGTAGAGTCTATAACTCAAGTCACAAGATCTTTTTTTTTTTGTTTGCTTTAAAATATATTAGTAATGCTTGAATATTATTTCTTAAGTTATAAGAAAACTCAACTTGGCTTGCAGTGAAGCGCAAACCACTTATCTAGTGTTACATTGTTTATGAAAGATTTCTAGTTCAAGTGCAATTCTGTTGCTTGTTCAAGTTGTATATAAACCATAAGATTTCTAATTAAAATGCATGTGTTATTTTGAAAAAAAAAAAACTGATAGGGTTAGGTTTAAACTCGACACAAAATAAAATTTATTGAATCATTTGCGTGTGTGTGAGTATATGACCTGAAACAGAATGCCGAAATGCTTTGAAATCAAAATTTATTTTTCAAATAAAAAAATAAAACACCATCCAGAACCGAGTTGATAATCTTGGTTGCAATAAATCAATTAAGAGGAAACTAGAATAAACAATAAGAAACTATAATCTATGTGTAGTCTAAAATTGAATTTTTGTATAAAAATAACATAGTTTGGTAAAAATTTTTGGAGAATGACATATGATGGAAAAGTATTTGGAACTAGCACAATTTGAACACCACCGTGTTTTTGAAATATATGTTTTGTGCATAACAATTATTCTTAACAGTTTAGTCAAAACCAAAATGAATATCTTAGCAAATTAATAAACTTGAACACAAGTGAACCCAAAATTTTATTAAAATATTCAATGGCTAAAAAATTATGACAGGAGAGAGAAATGAGAGAAAAATGAAAAGAAAGAACAAGTCATTAGGGACACATCAAAACTCTATTTTGTACACACTCAATACCATTAAAAAGATTTTGATGAAATAATTTTAACTACACCTTGAAAGATCACCAAATGAGATCATAATTACCCTAAATTAACCTAAAAAATCCCTAACCAATTACAATCTCATTTGATAATCTTCCAAAATATGACTAGAGTCGTCTCAAAGAATCCTTTATAAAAATATCATGTGTGTAAAAAATAGAGCTCCAATATATTCTCAGTGACTTATTATTTCCTTTTCTTTTCTCCCTCATTCTATTTCCTACCACATCATTTTTATCTCTCCTCTTTTTTTTATCTATTGTATCTTGAATCTCATCTATTGGCAATTAAACTTTTATAAAATTTTGTGATGATTTTTGTATATATTAATTAATTTGAATGAGACATAGATTTTAAAAAAACTATTATTATCAATAGCAGTTATATATGAACTATGTTATTTTCAGAATACTTTTTTTTATTAGCGTTCGCTGTTAGCTTTTGTTCAAAGTATTTTTTTTAAAAATTTTTTAATTTTTTTTCACTTAAAAAATATAAAATTAATGTTTTTAAGTGTTTTTTTTTTATGATTTAATATGTTGATATTAAAAATTAAAATTAAAATTAAAAAAATATCATTTTAATATACTTTCAATTAAAAAATATTTTAAAAAAGTCCGTGCACCACAATACCAAACTTTAAAAGTTATAGATTCTCATAATTGCCCTTTTATCGGTCCACCGTTACTCATTAATATGCTTTTGTTTGGCATTATATTTATTTATTTATTTTTAAAATGTTTTTCATTTAAAAATACATTAATTTTTTTAAAATTGCTTTATGTAAAACATAAATATAAAAATATATTATTTTAATATATTTTCAATTAAAAATCATTTACATTGAGTTATAGATTTTTCATTAGTGTACTTATACGAGGTGTGATAAATATTTTGTCATTTATGCCTTCACTACCATGCAAGTTGGTGGAAGTATAAATACTCCTCGATAACATCCGATCATCGCAAAACATTCTCTCTTATCAAACCTATCTCTACATTTCATTTCATCCTCTACATCACATCACGGATACTCTATCGACCTTCTTTTATCCTCAAATTTACTAATTTAAACATCAAATGATCTCCTATGCCATGCAAAAACTTGTTTCTGCAGGTGAACGTAGGCCCATTATATCATCATAAAGGCCATCAATCTATCGTAAACATGAAGCAAGCCCAACGCTCTTCTATATGAAATATGAAATCTAAATTCCTCATAATCATGTATCTTTGAGCATTTTGCTAGAAGAAAATGACAAAATCCTTCAACCCTTGTATTCGTTAACAATTTATCTCTAAGAAATATATACCGAAAGCAATTGATTAATTAGCAATGTAAGGAGGGAGGACACAAGTTAATTATAAGGAGGGAGAACACAAGTTAATTATACATTACATGCATGAAATCACCAGCCCCATGAACAAGGAGAAGCCTAGTACTTGTAACCCTTCTCGAACAAGCTCTCTGAAGCCAGCCCACCAGTACCTCCTCCAGCATACTTGCCTAGAGTTGCATCTGAATTCCCCTTGCACCTAAGCAGGAATACCTCTTGAGCTTTCTCAACGTTCTCCTTCTTTCCAGCCCATGTTTTGAGTGTGCTTTTTTGCAATGCTCGGCCGAAAGAGAATGATAGAGTCCATGGTTTCAACACCTCAAGCTTATTCATGGCGTCGAGGTTCAATGTTGCTTCCTCCTCACTTTGCCCGCCAGACAAGAACACAATTCCTGGTACAGCTGGTGGAACAGTTCTGCGTAGCGCGGTCACTGTGAATTCAGCAATCACCTCAGGTGTTACCTTTAAGAATCAAACCCTTTGAAGATTAATCAATAATTGAAGACAAGTATGACAAACTGAATTATGTTAAGCGGTAATGTTGGTATTTTGATCATACCTTTGGGCTATCAGAACCTGGAGTTACCATGTTAGGCTTGAGGAGTGTACCTTCGAGAAGAACATGGTGATCATTCAATGCCTTGTAAACAGCAGCAAGCACAGTCTCAGTTACAGCAGCACATTTCTTAATGTCATGAGATCCATCAGTCAAAATCTCAGGCTCCACAATAGGCACCAGACCATTCTCCTGACAAATAATAGCGTAACGAGCCAACCCTTGTGCATTCTGCTGGATTGACAATTCAGATGGCTCTGTTGGGCCAATCTTGAGGACAGCACGCCACTTCGCGAATCGCGCACCGGCCTTGTAGTATTGCTGGCAGCGTGCCCCGAGTGAATCAAAACCTTGGGTTGTAGTTTCACCGTTAGTCCCGGCTAATTCAACTACACCCTTGTCAACTTTGATTCCAGGAATGACATTGTTTTCATGGAGGACCTCAACAAATGGTTTCCCATCAGAGGTTTTTTGGTAGAGGGTTTCTTCAAAAAGGATGACACCAGAGAGGTAAGGTAGGGCTTTGCCGGATGTGAATAGGAGTTCACGCAGGGCTTGGCGGTTGGACTCGATATTCTCAACATTTATGCTTGATAAACGCTTGCCAATGGTGCCTGTGCTCTCATCTGCAGCCAAAATGCCCTTCCCTGGTGTGGCAATGTACTTGGCAGTCTTGATCAGCTCATCTGGAGTAAACCATGGAAAAAACCAACCACCTTAGAAGCTATATAACGCTTGAGTAGATAACCTATACATTAGCATTTGAAGCTTCAATAAATGTGTACGCATGCATTTAGAGTAGGAAATCTGTCAAACCATACACTATGACTTATTGCCCCATATTCACAAAACTAGATGATTTTGTGTTGCAAGAGGTGAATTTTCAATCATTTGTATATGAAAGTCTACAACAAAGGCAATTAAATTAAACTGGATATTCGCCAATGAACTAGTAGCTCAACCACATCCATATCCCACATTCCTGAAGTGAATCCGCGTTTAAGCCTCTCTTCTGTAACCAACAAAAGAACATGGATATGCATATATCCATAGCTGCAAAGGAGAAGGAAACTCTCTGCTGTAGTGCCTCCAGCTTTCAGTGGTGATGAATTCGTAGTCAAAATGTTGCCTTGAAGTGAGCTTGAGTGCTCGACATAAGCTTCACGGAGTTCAAAAGGTAGGCCATAGAAAAGAGAGGGTAATAAGCTTCACGGAGTTCAAAAGGTAGGCCTTAGAAAAGAGAGGGAGAGGGAGAGGGAGAGGGAGAGAGGTGTACTACCTGCATACTTTCCAACAAAGGCCGACATGCTGAAGCTTTTTCAAGGATGGATATTGGATAAAGAATGACGAATAGAGAAAAATGCAAAAACAAGCTTTTACAAGCACCTCTCCATATAGATCATCTTCAATAGAATATAAATCCACCCCACAATTCTCAACGCGTGTCAAAAGATTGGCCCAACACAGGTTATCATCCTTGGATAAAGCAATGGGTGATCATTGTCTCTGCCAAGTGGCATTTCTTATTATTATATCTTAGCTTGGGCACCATAAATTAAGTATCGTGTGGAAAAGCTCCTCCCTCACCTGCAGCTTGCTCCCTCCAAAATTTGAAGAGGTAGATGCTAACATCTTTGCCTCAACGAATAATTTTTAACCGTTAATGTCAATGTCCCTTCTAATTCATTTCAACTTCATTTTTTTATAGATGCCCCACTATAATAGAGGGGAAGAAACAGAAGGAAAAATGCAGCTAGAGAGAGAATCTGCAAACCACAATAACAACAAAGAATCGAGATAGGATATTCAAACCCTAGCTGAACCAAAATAACGGTTCACCATAAAATTTTATCACCATGTATGAAATAAAATATCTGGGTTCACAGATACATATATTAATTGGGAGGCTGTCACCATCAAGTTCCAAGTAGGTGCCTCTAATCACCAATCACTTTCCTCTGAGCGATGCAAACTGAGTAACGTTTTGGTTGTGGATTTATTGCACTTCTTAACGTTTTGGTTGTGGATTTATTGCACTGCTTCTTTTTTTTCCTTGGAGAAACCCTCTGCACATAGAACTAAGGTGACAGAGAATAAAACACCTCCTCTGTGACTCAGTTTTTTTTTTTTTTTTTTTTTTAAAAAAAAATAAAAAAATGGAAGGAAGAAACTAGAGGTTTGATTTGAGTCAAAATTTGTTCAAAACTGAAAGCGCACAACTCAGCACATAAAGAGTCCGGCAGGTTCGGCTGCTCGCTCTCTGCCGATTACTCAGCGCAGCCCTTAGTATCTCTATTGTGTATGGGCCACCACTAGTTCGTTGTCATCGTCGTCTGTGCCAAAATATCTATCTCCAAACTCACCCATGCCAGGTATGACACGGAAATCTTCGTTCAAGCCAGTTTCAATCTCAGACGTCACAATCTTTATTCTTGGGAATCTTTTGCAGACCACATGCACTCCCTGGGGTGCCTGGTGGAAATAAACATCATATTTGTAAGCAGAGAACTGAAAAGTACAAAATTAATGTCTACTGATGAATCACGTAAAGATGAAACCAAAAATTCGATCTCGCTTACAGATATGAGATTAAGAAAAATGATATTGGATTCTGGCACACCCTTGCTAATAAGCAAAGAAATGGCCTGAACAGCTGAATTGCCTGAACAGAAGGTAGAAAGTCATGTTAGTACCAATAAGCAGTGCAAGTCATATATTCAGTCAGGTAATTTGCTATAATATTCAGATTCAAACTTGAATTGAATATAGAAGCTACTATCTTTTATGCTGCATGCCAGTAGAGAATGATGGGGGGACAAGTTGTAGCCAAGTTCAAGGGAGTAAGTGCTTCTCCATCAAGTTACAATAAATAAAAAAAACCGCAAGATTTTGTGTGTCCTTCAATGCAGCAAATTTTTTATTATTACTGATGTATTCCAAAACAAAAATCTATAGAGGAAACAATCCGACCTGTCCCTAGAATGGGATCCAATAGCAACACATGTCTATCCGAGATATCTTGAGGTAACTTTTCATAGATAAGCTGCCAAATCATTGAAGCGTTAAGAATAGTCAGAACTCACAGATTGTATGACACACACAGATATCAACTCAAGACACGCTTGAAAACAAAGAGAAGAGCCTTCACAAACCTGCTGACCATTGTCACCTTCCCTATGAATAAGAATCTTCCCAATCTTGATGCCTTTACAACATGCTCGTAGAGCATTCTCCATACTCTCGCCACTGGTGTCAATATAAGAGAGATAAGTGGTTGTTTTTCATGCCACTGGGAAAGATGCAGGAGAAGTTCATAAAAAAGTGAAAAATAAGAAATGATTGTTATAATGGCTACAGATTCCAATTCCGCTCCTAATTCTCTTTCTCTAACCAAGAAACTAGAACAATCAATCAATCATGACGCTACCATTCAAGTGATCACAACATTGAGCTTTAGAAATTAACACCACCTAGCTTATTGTTGGTTTCATAGTACTCTTGCATAATATTATCAGGAGAGGAACTTCACTATAACTGCAGTTGGTATCAATCATACAGAAAGAAAGATATATGTTATACAGCTGACTTATTGCCATTGCCCATGGTATTCGATCTCATGTGCAGCTTGCAATAGAAGATGCAGGGGAATAAAACATGCAAGTAAATCAAAATGCTAAACAGACAATGGAACATATCAATCCATTGCTTCAAGAATTGAGATCGTATGAGAACCTCCTAATAATGGAGACACCACATAACCGCTTACAAAAATCCACACCAGTGTAAACAGACCCTGCATCACACAGGAAAAAAATGTAGTGAAAACCACGATCCAAGCAGTTTAATTTACAAAATTAAAATACAAGCTCAAACAAGAGAAATATGGACCCATCACTTAAAAGTATGAATTGAGTAGAAATAAGCCATATGCCTAATCTTGCAGCTATAAACGTACCATCACAAGTAAGATATGTTCTGTTACCAGGGTGCCAACATGCACATCATCCATGTTATAGCTATCTAGTAAAGAGAAAGCATAAACCTTTTTATTTGTATCAAAAAACATCAAATATTTCTCCAAGATTTCATCTCTCATTGACAAAATAAATACCAGGTAAGAGTGAACTAGAAATCAAGAACTGGATAGCCTAAAGATTCTCAAAACATTGAGAAACATCAGCTTACCAGTGGGAGTGGTCACCTGCTTTTCTGTAAATGGTAGATGTCCCAGACCATGTTCAACAACCTGGTAAATGAAAGAGATTGGACAAGCGAACAAACTGAATAAAAGAAAAGGCCACTATATCCCACTCTCAAGAAATAAACATACTAAACAAACTAATTAAGAAAACATAAACCCACCAAACGAATCAATCTGTCAGCATAAAAAACAAAGTCATGTTTTGTTGTCTGGGAATCACGTATTAGGGTATGCATACCACGTATCTGCATGAGACAAGTAATGATTGGAGGATGAGAATAAGCAAAATACAGTACAGTACACAGAGCCAGAAAAGCTGGTAATATGTTCTTCTTAATCAAGATTAATTAGATCTCCATTAGAATTCATATCCCTTTGCCAACTTAGATTAGAGTGGAAGAAGCCCCACCTGAAAAGTTGATTGAATGACATATAAGTTGGGATATATTTTACACATGTCATGTTGGCCAAGCTTCGTACAAATATGTTGCACAATCAAATCAATGGCTACATGATTATCTCCCCCGCGAGGAATGATGATGTCAGCATACTTCTTTGTTGGGAGTATGAAGTCATCAAAAGCAGGCTTCACAAATTTTGAGTACTGCATCAAAATAATTCTATTACTTACTACCAGAGGAAGGTAATACACCATGATAGCAATTTAGATGAGATGAAACCTCGCCTTGCTTGCATAAAAGGCTTTCTATTGGTTTACTTTAAGATTCTCTTCATCTCTAAATAAGTATCATAATTCATCAAGTTAAAAATAAAAAGATAACATAAGAAATCACGTGTTGTTGCTAACCATCCAAAGTTAAATAGTAAATAAAAAGGAAACTGGATTTTTCCTTTAAAGATGGATGGAGATAACAAAGGCAGGGTGAGGTTACACATAAACTCATTTTTTAGCATAATAAAAGTATAAAGGAAGAATGACGGTGATTTTGGGATAGCAAGGGTAGAAATTAAGAAAAACTCAATGGAAAAAAGAAAAGGGAGTGGTAGGAGTGCACTTCGTATCTCTCTTCTCCAAGCCTCACATGTTCTAAGTTGAATAAATTGGCTGGGGAACAGGCTGTAGATCTAAGAAGTTCTTCATTTTTTTCCTTTCTTTTTTCTCACCATATTTAACAACCAAACAACCAAAAAGAAGAAAAAATTTATATTTCCTGGATTTTAGTTTCAATAAAACTGTAAGAGAACAATGCAAGAAACGAAAGAACTATTCCACTTTTAGGCTCCCATTAGTTCAAGATTCAAACCTACGAAATAAAAGGTCTCTAACCTGATCAAGTACTGTGCCAATATCTCTACCCTTCTCAACAGTATCACGCCTTATTCTCCTTGCCAGACGTACATCAGCATCTGCACTGAAAATTGAACAATGTCAAGCAATGGTGCTAGCAACATATAAGATACATTTGTGTAATATATTCAATCATTTTATAAGGAACATCAGAACCTATTGGTTACAAAACAAAACAGAAAGACAAATGGCAAGAAACAATATAAAATTGTTACGGTTTGGAGAAAAACAGGTAGGTGTAAACATATTGTTAAAGGAAAAAACCAATTGCTACTTGAGACAACCTGAGAAAGATAGGTTGCCATTAAAAAAACTCCAATAATAAGGCCAGTAAGGTAAGGATTATGACATTTCTCAGAAGGTTACAACTAAAATATAACGTGCCCTATAGGTTATATGCATTTTATGAACCCACATCTTCACACAATGTCCCTGTATAGATTATACACAGTGATGCAAAAGTTAACTGATAGCTGGAAAACTAAATAACCTGTATCAACAAATAGCTTCATGTTCATCAACTCTCGAACGCGAGGATCATGGAAAATTAGAATGCCTTCCAAGATTATAACATCTGAAGGATTGACCTGTAAAATAGTTGTAGTAATAAGAATTCAGAATGTGATGCACATGGAAGAATCAGACATGGGATTTACATTCTATCAGTCTAACTACAATATCAGAGATGAGTTCAAATAACAATGTTGTGCAAAGACATCATGGAAGAAGTATTCAAATGCACCATGTAGAGAAATTTCAGTATGGCAAAACACTGGTAAGTGTAATATAGCATGTACAGCTGAAACATAAAAGGAGACATTTGTCCACCAATGATTAATATGAAGGTGCCCATCATAATTGCACATGTACACCCAGGTCTCACTGACAAAGACTACAATCAATACAGTGGAAAAGAGAAACTGCTAACTACTGAAGCTTAAGTTATTTCTTTTTTTCCTTTTTTTTTTCCCGTTATATTAATAGTTCCCTAAATTCAAAAAAGAACTCAATTAAGAGAAAGAAAAGGAAGGAATCCAATTATGCAATGTAGTATAGTATAATCATAATAGTAGTATTGTTCCCTTTAGTTTTTTTACCTTTTTGTAGCTCTAACATTTAGAATTTTTTATGCCCGTAACATTCCATGTTGGACAATATAAGCAACAGAACACAAAATCGAACACAAGGCAAAACCCAAAATCTAGCTATAAGCAATTTCATGGTTCACCAGCGATCTCCTTCAACATTAAGAATTTTACAAAGAAAATGGCAAGTGAACATAAAGCTAAACAATACATTTTCCACTATCCAATTAAGGTCCCATCAAGCAATGTCCAAGACTCTCAGAAGGGATGATTTGGGATAGTCCTACCTTCAACATACTTGCATGAAATGGCTGCTCTCACAACTCCTTTGGCAACCTTATGGTTACAATCTAACAACTTTACCCTCACTAGATAATGCCCCCCAGAAACTATATATATCCATATAGAAAACAAAGCTTTCCAGTAAATACTATATAAAAATCTTAAAAAATTCTGAAGAACACTTGTTATGATAGTACAGAACCAAAGTGTCTCTGTAACCAGGATCAAATTGCAAGATATCCCCAATGGGATTTGGTATAAATCAAGGAGAGTTATCTTTTACAAGACAAGGGGACAATAGGAAAAACTGTACCCTTCTTGCTGGAAAAACATTGTTTTTGTAACTCTTGAAGTCATATTTTGGAATATCTACTGCTTGCCCATGTCTCAACTTCTCCATAGCACATAATAGTTGCTCAGTGTCAAATGCATCTGACAATAAGAGAAATATTATGCTAAAAAACAGGGTGAAATAGCATCCACCACACAAAAAAAATTTCTCCCCGCCATTTCAATAAACTTGGCAAGAATTATGCCCCTAAATGCCTCCACTAGAGATGTACATTACAGAATGTTCCTGTTTGGAAAATGAAATGAGAAAGAAGGAAGCTCAGAGCATGACAAAATAGCAAAGCATTTTCTGGCTTTAGCGGGTATAGGTTTTTTCTCACCAAGAATCAAGCAGAAGAGCATGCCTATTTTGGATAATGACAGTGTAAGAGGAAATACACACCAATCATTGTATCCAAGATCCCTCAAATAGCAAAATGTATCTTAGAGAAGTCTACTCACCAGGATGGTCAAAGTTATACTCATGAACTCTTGTAAGTTCCTCTTCAGTCAGATCATGATAAAAAGAATCCTGCCATGTCATCCATGAATGAGATTTATTTTTATATTCAATCAATCCTGATAGTAGCATCAAACCTTTATGACCAAGAACTCAAATTTTGATATTGTGTTTCCTTAACTTCCAAAACTAATTTGGAATCGGGAAGTAATTACCTGGTTAACAAGCACCACACGTTGATCATGAAGCTGTTGAATAATCATATCACAAACTGTAGTCTTCCCAGAAGCCGCTCCACCAGCAACTCCTGTACCACAATTAGTAAAAATGGCACATTTCATAAAAAATATATCAAAAAAGTGAAAAGGGAATACATGGTCCCATGAAAAAATTAGAAGAAACCAATGCATCAGCAGCAATTATAGATGTAGAAATATTTCATTTTTTCTTCAACATCAGATCCCTCCTGCCCGCCTAATCCTGCTGTTTTAATTTGCTTCAACAAATCTACATCGAAACCAATGTCACCCATTTCTTGATTGACTAGGAGATGTTTAAGAGCAAAATTCAGTATGAGATTACTCTACATCCCTGTTATCCAACTCCCTATTAGATGATTCCAATTGCATTACCCACAAAAAGATTCATTTTTTCACACTTCAAATGTCTATGCTCTGCACACCAAACTCGTGTATCCTCTGTTGTTCTCATTTTCTGGTTAGAGCAGGCAAATATATGCTGTTCAAAAACATTCAACTGATAGGTAAGAGTAGACTAGTTAGAAGTTTCTAATAGAAGAAGGTAGATAACAAGTGCAATGTTCAGCCAAACCAATATGAAAAAACTCTGATGTGGCATTATCAAAATGTACATAAGAGAATTTGCATGCACCCAGGCATAAAACATGTCTTTTGAGCTGATAATAAATAAATGCAATAATTCATGAGCTTTCTCTAATCTGTTCTCTTCTCACTATCTCCATGGACATACTGAAACATCGTAAGAGTGAGAAATTCAAAAATTCATTTTGATGAAAGGACTTTTCTTGATCGTTGCAAAATGCCGATCATACATCCTGAATTTCACCGACCATTGCCAGTCAGTCAGCACATTACCAATGATTGATCTCACAAAAAAAAGAAGAGAATCACACAACACCTCTCGGTGTAAACCAATCGAAGAATTCACTGAAAACCTATATCAAAACAATACAAGTACAAAATTGACAAAGTGAACGCTCACTAACTCACCAATGACAAAGGGTTGCTTATGCATCTCTTCAGCTGCCAGCGTCGTCGGTTGCCCCACCTGTGTACTTCTCAACTCCAAACCATTCATATGAAACCCAGAAAAATGAACTCCTGATGATGCCTCTATCATATCCTCAACTGATTTAGCACCCATGAAGAAAACCTACAAGAAACAAAAGAGCCCTTTATCCTAAACCACATTTCCCACTTTTTGCACCCACCCCCGCCCCTCTAAAACTCCAACTTTTTACAAAAAGAATAAATCTTGCATCTCCAATAATCAAAGGGCAACCAAATCAACTATTGCATTCTCTAATTCAATAACAATCACTAAGTTCCATAGCCATAGCACTGAAAAAGCAGAAAAATCAATTAATGAAAACATCCCAACAAAAGTATCAGCGTCACAGCAATTTCCATTTCATTGCATATCACAAAAACATCAAGATGACATCAAAGGGTCGCTCTTTTCACCATTTCTAACCCACCCAAAAACAACAATCAGCCAATGAACACACAAAGAAATAAAAAATAAAAACTTTAATTAATTACAAAAACCGGAGATTCTAGATTTGATCAATCAAACAAGAAATAACATCAAAAACCAGAAATAATGCAGATTGTACCTGGTGTACAGCTCCAAAATTCAGAGATCAATGAGAGAGAGATTTATGACTGTAAAATTTTTCGCTTTTTAATTAATTATTTATTTGGGAATATTAACAGATTACCGTTTGAAGAAAGTATTATCAGGGAGGCTGGCTGTGAGTTATTTTTTCCTGTTTAAGCAGAGAGAGAATCAGGGACGGAATGATTGCTTAGGCGCGTGCGTGTGTTATACATTGCCGATATAGACATTCCTGAATTTGGGGTCTTTATAGAGTCTGATTTTGCAACAAAGCCTTTGATCGTAGAAATAATTCCCAACTCCTAAAATATTTATAATTATTGCAATATCTATTTCATTGGTAATGTTATTATCTTGAGTTTTAATATATAGAAAAATATATAAATAAAAATGTTAAAAATACTATTGAAATTATAAATCTCTGAAGTTTTGAGTAAAATGTCATATTATAGAATGGCTTGGATTTAGCATTTGTTTGTTTGATATATTATAAGTCTCTTGATTATAGAGTAGAGATTCAAATTTATTTATCTATTAAAAAAAAAGAATATTATGAATATTAGGTGAAATAGTATTAACCCTAGTGCTTCCCTATCCAGCGTTTCACACAGAAAAGAAAGTCGTTGAGAGGCTGTTTAGGAGTTCATGTTTAGCTGGTAATAGGTTATGTTTTTTAAAATATTTTTTATTTTAAAAGATATTAAAATAATATTTTTATTTTTTAAAATTTATTTTTAATATTAACACATTACAATAATTAAAAAAATAAATAAATATTATTTTAAAATAAAAATAAAATATTTTTAAAACACCAGAAAATAAGATAAATAACACTCCTCCTCCACCCCGCACCACCGCCATCTGTCGTATTGATTCCAGATCTTGAAAAGTGGAAGTGATTGGATCGAGGAGGAGAAGGATCCACCTAAGCATCGAATCAGCTGCGGGGTCCAATGTTTTTTTTAAGTATGATGGGGAGTTTTTTCTTCTTCTTTTTAAAATAGTATAATAAAAAATTAGAGAAATAATATACTTTAAAATTTAATTAAAAATAACATGATTTAACATATTGTAAATAATAGCTATGACTCGAGAATAGAAAATATTATATATAATTTTATTTAAAAAATTACTTATTTACAAATTTAAAAATAAATCAAACTCTCTATTATTATAATTTTCAATAAAAATTGTAATTTTGATAATCATACCATATCTATAATGATGTAAATCTGGATAGCAAAATAACATGACCCAATAATATTTTAAGAACCATTTAAAGAAAAGAGTTTTTTTTTTTTTTTGTAACACCACATAGAATTTTAATTAATCTAGATTTGAGTGGGGTATGATTATGATAATGACAAAATTCTCCCTATCAAGTATTTAACGCAGCTGCATTTAAACCAAGAACCTTGATTATTTGACATAGAACTTGTTATAATTTTATTTAAGGACTAGATAAATATGATTAAATCTGGGGAAAAAAAAGGTTGGTAAAGAAACCTAGAAGCATTTGATATGATATGAAAGTTGAAGTTGTTGTTTTTATTAGTTTTCTAGTTAATTTTAAATTTTAAATTTTAATTTTTTATTTAATTATATTAGAAATATTAGAAATCTTAATGCTAGAAGAATTTTATTAATTATGCAAGTTTTAATTAAAAAAAAGTTATAAAAGATTTTAGATGTAAAATTAATATTATAAAAAAAAACCCATCCAAGAGTTATATATACATATACATACACACACACACACACACACATATATATATATATATATGATTTATTTGCAGTGTCTTTTACCCACGCTATGTACTATATGCTAGTATAACATATATGAATTTAAAATAATATCTTAGATTCATCTATTAAATCAGTATCTAGTTTTATAATGAATTGTTCGGTTAGTTTTCTAGGATAGAAAACATAGAGATATAAAATAAATCTATCATTTAAATAGTTTTTATTTCCCATCAATCCTAAGAATTAATCGAGAAATATGTTGTTCTCATTTGGAGCTTGTTACTCACATTTATCTTTGTATAATTAATTCGTAAACACAGTTAGTCTAAGTGACTTAATTATGATCATGCTTTGAAAACCTTAATTAATTATGCGTTGGCTTTATCTTAGTTTAGTCTCTTGTAGTTCTAGGTACAGTTCAACTATTTTTTTTTTTTTAAAAAAAAAATTAAATTAATTTTTTTAATATTTTTGAATCATTTTAATATACTGATATTAAAAATAAAATTTTTAAAATAAAAAAATATTATTTTAAAAAACAATCCTTAATATACTTTCAAATAAATTTTTAGTCCTCCTTTGGAAATCACAAGCTTTTAACTTTTTCTTTTTGTTTTTTTTACTTTCATAACTTCTTATTCAAAAGCATAATTCCAATCTATTTGATAATATTTATTGTATATCTGTATTGTGATGTAAAATATTTTTTAAAATTTTTGTTATTTAAAAATATATTAAAATATTTTTAAAAATTATTTTTATTTTTGATATTAATATATCAAAATAACCCTGAAAAAACAATAATTTAATATTTTTTAATATAAATATAATTTTAAAAAATATAATAAAATAGGAGCTACAATTCATTGCTTCTTACCTACAATCAAAAGTCACAACTACAATTAAAAGTTATAGCTACGGTTAATTAAAAATCATAATTCCTCCAAACAGACACTAAAATTTTCCAAGCTTCTGCCCGATTTTATGACCAAAAAATAAAATAAAAAACTCGAACATCATGAAAAAGTAATTAAAAAGAGGTTGTCGTGTTCCACTCAATTAATTGGCATTCAAAATCGAATAATTTTCCTTTCCAATGAAACTACACATTTTTCAATTAAAAACATGAGAAATTGAAAACAAAATTTGTCTGAAAAAGGTGACAACTTTCAAATCAAACTAGAAAAGAAAAAAACACATGAGAAACTTCACCTCCACAATTTCCAAGCAATTGCTAGCTAGTGTCGATTGTCTAGTCATATATTCCAATTTTGGGCAATAGGGAAATCCTACGTGCATCTTCCAATTAAAAACAAAATTTATCTAAAACATGTGACAATTTTCAAATCAAACTATAGGAGAAACACACAGGAGACATCTGACCTCCACAATTTCCAAGCAATTGCCAAAGTCGATTGTCTTGTTGTTCTAAACAAGAGCGAACTGCCACCAAAACATTTTCTCTGAAAATACTAAGCGCCATGTAATCAACCAAAAAAAAAAAAAATCAGAAAAAGGGGATAGCTCAAGGTCCATGATGTGCATGGGGGTAATAGCCACTCCAACAACAAGTGTTGGGTGTTGGGTCATGCTAGCTAAGCCACGATTCTGTTTGTCCCCCTTCGGGCACCAACACATATGGTGCAGTATCGCACGTTATTTTGATGGCTGAACATGTTGTCTTTCGAAGTCTGTCCTTGTGGTCAATTTGTTTGCCACAAGTTTTCTTGATTATTTTGTTTCTAACAAAAACTACATTAACATTGGTATCCTTAGCGAAGTAGGTTAATTACGTGATGCTTACGGTAGTTGTCGGACTTGATATGGCATAATTCGATGTATTGATTGATTTGTTGATCAGGATCGATCATGCAACTAATCATGCCTGTAAAATGAATTATCAAATATATCTTTCTTTAGTTTTTTAATTTTCTAGGAGATCTTCAAGAAAAATAAACGATTTTCAGCAAGTAGACGCATTTTTTCTACCATGTTTCGAGTGGCTAGCCAAAGACCACAGGCACTGTACGTGGATGATAAACAGCATGGCATCTGCATTATTCATCTGATAGGGAGAAAAACAGTGCTGTAGCTTGGTAGGACCTCCAAAGCAAAGAAGTTCAGGGAGATGGAGGGACGAAAGGGAAGAGGTAACCTCATGCCTGAAAGGTGGGTAGTTGCGGTGTCCAGTTCTGTCTTCCTTTATGTCCAAATTAAGCTCCTTCATTTGATTTTTGCCTATGGAGAATTCACATTGTTTTGAAGATTTCCCTTTTCTGGTATGATTGAAGATATTGTTGTTTAAACTTATCAATCATTTGATTAGGAATTTAATTTGCGCTAATTATGATTTAGGTACTGAAGGGTGAAAAGTCAATTATTTTTTTTGAGTTGTTGATGCGAAATTCAAGCAACATCAAAATAAAGATTGGCTAAAAGCTCTAGGTGGCCAAATAACAAAATTCAAAATGGATTATTGGTGTTGGGTGAGAGTGATTACAGCAAAAATGGCAATAGAAAAGGAGTTGAAAGCTGAAGGCTAAGGAAGCAGGGAATGTTTTCTTTACATCAGCAAGCAAGCACTGCATTTTCCCAGTAGAAAAATCTTGATGTTAGCTAATCTCATCATGATGACGAGGGGCACCACTGCCTGAGCAGCAACCCATTTTCAAGGAGGCGAGAACTTGAAGGTGGGGCAACAGAGAGTGATTTCCGTTCCTGAAAAGGCCTTGTGTTGCCCTATCAAAGGCTTTGATGGTAGACAAAAGGACATTCTTATATGATGTTTCTGGCCAAATTTTGCCAGTGTTCTTTATCTGGGCTACTTGGCCCTCATTCTAGAGAACAGAACAGAACAGAACTCGAATGAATTGGGCTTATCAACTTTTATTTTTGTGGACCAGTCCGTCGATGATTGTCGAAGGAGTAAATCATGGCTAGATTACAGGACGAGAGAGTACCATAACGAATATTTCCTTGATAACCTAGATTTATCTAGATTTTTTTATATAAAAATCATTAAAATAATATTATTTTGAATATTTTATCTGCTCAGCCAGGTTTATCACCTTGAGTCCGATGACCGAGCCATGGTTAATTTATAGACTATAGCACCCTTGTCCCGAGAATAGTAATGTACACATTAGGTTATAAACCCAGCCATTGACAACATTGAAAGGTAAAGCATGCGTCCATGATGAAGAGACCAAAGTAAAGCCATCATGTCAATTTCTCTTACACAATCCTGATATTTCTTTCATGGAAGAAAACCTTTGTGTCAATATGCCGCCGATTCACAACTTGCATGTGTTCATCAATCTCTTTTCTCTGTTGAAAACAAAAAATCCAAAATGTTAAAATTACAGATTTTCACGTTGGTTTTTAGCGATAAATAATTGCAATTCATCTCTTTTAAAAAAAAAAAAACATAAAGGGTAGTTGTAATAATTAATGATGTTCATTTCTTTCTTTAACGTGATAAATTTGAATCTTGAATCAAAAATAGCTACAAGGATTTAGCATGAACACATTGACTGTATTAACTTGTTTGGTAATGTGATTAAATTTACTTTTAAAATAACATTTTATGTTAAAATATATATATTAATAATTTTTTTGTTTTTTAAAAATTATTTTTAATATTAGTATATTAAAATAATTTAAAAATATTAAAAATATTTTTTTTGGATTCAAGCAAATCCTATCTTTCAAAAAATGCATTTTATAGATTCAGATATAAGGGAGTAAAATCTTAGTTGTTTAAGGTTTTT